GCAGAGAAACCAGAGAGGAGACAGCAGGGATGATGTTCCTGTGTCACCGAGAGCTCCAGTCCCGGGGGCTGGGAGTCTTGCAGTCTGGGGCTCTGAGACACTCTGATACCCTCACACCCGCCCTCTCCTGTCCCTTCTGAGCTCAAATAAGCTTGTTAGACGGAATTCAACTAGACTGTAGTGTCTTTCAGGACAGAAACTTGTTTCTCTTTATATGCTAATCTACGGCCATACCACCCTGAACGGCCCGATCTCGTCTTTATATGCTAGTACTTCTGCTTTTAAGTTCTTTGCATTCTGGGGCTGCTTCTGTCTGCTGCTTTATAGAGACCCTCAGGATACCCTCCCTGTTTTGGTCTGCCATTTTTATCCCTCACCTCTTCCAAAGGACGCTCCTATAAGACATCATTAACTTGGGCTTTGCTCACATCTTAATTAACACTCGGGTCCCACAGCCCTTCTGTCTTCAGTTTGGAAGATGATGTCCCTTATATTCATGTCCTTAACATTGCTTTTGGGGGTGTTTATCCCATTTCCTCAACAGATTAGGAGACCCCTGAAACCAAAGGCTCTCTCCCCCAACAGGGCAGAAGGAATGTCTTCATTAATCTTGCAGATCCCTGAGGGAAGAACTTATCTTCTGTTTTTTAAAAAGAAATCCTGGCACTATATTAGCTCTGCACACTGTGGGTGCTCAATAAATGTCGACTGACTGGGTAAATGATAGACTTAGTCCCCTGGAGTGTCATACTCTTTCTTTCCACAGGGAGAAAGTAATAACATTCAGCAGAGGAGGCTGGATCCCTTAATATGATTACCTGGGATTTGTGGGCTGGTGACTCCTTCTCCCAACTTTATTGGGTACATTCATCTCCACAGAATAGATAGATATTCCCGGAGACCACTAATGCTACTGGCCAAACAATGGGCTACCATTAATTGGCCTAATCCTGCTCATCACGGGCTTCCCCTGTGGCTTAGCAGTAAAGAATCTGGCTGCAATGCAGGAGCCACAGGAGACTCGGGTTCAATCCCTGCATCAGGAAGATCCCCTGGAAGAGGGTATGGTAACCCACTCCAGTATTCTTGCCTGGAGAATCCCCATGGACAGAGAAGCCTGGTGAGCTACCGTCCATAGGGGTTGCAAAGAGTCGGACATGACTGAAGTGACTTAGCACGCATGCACTTAACACACTGCTCATCACATATGAGGCACTGCCTCCAGCCCAAGAGAATCCAACACTGCTGAAGCAGGGGTTGTACTGACAAGTGTGTTTTAACCAAGGTCAACCATGTTGTCTATATTTAAGACATCCTAGAGATTTCCCTGGCAGTCTAGTGGTTAAGACTCTGTGCTCCCAATGCAGGAGGCATGGGTTCTAGCTCTGGTCAGGGAACTAAGATCCTTCATGCCACATGGTGTGGCAAAAAAAAAAAAAAAGACATCCTACTATGAGCCTTATAGGCTATATATGACCTTACATTTTTTAACCCTTTAAAAACATACCAACTTGAAATATAAACAACATGGAATACATATCACCTATTTTGAGTGTGTAACTCAGTGGTTTTAGTATTTTCACAGAATTGTGGAACCACCTCCATAATAAATTTTAGAACATTTTCTTTACTCTCAAGAGAAACTCCATATCCAATAGCAGTCACTCTCCATTTTCCCCAACACACAACCCTATGAAAAGGGCTGTTGTTTTGGTTTTAGTTGCTGAGTCGTGTTTTGTGACCCCGTGGACTGTAGCCTGCCAGGCTCCCTCTGTCCTTGGAATTCTCCAGGCAAGAATACTAGAGTGGGTTGCCATTTCCTTCTTCAGGGGATCTTCCTGACCCAAAGATCGAACCTGTGTCTCCTGCATTAGCAGGGGGATTCTTTACCACGGAGCCAACCAGGGAAGCTCCAGGAAAAGGGCTAATCTATTTTGTTTCCATGGAATATTTTCCTATTTTGGATATTTCATATAAATGGAATCTTGCAATATGTGGTCTTTTGTGACTAGCTTCTTTCAATTACCAAGTTTTTAAGGTTTCAAGATATTGTGACATATCAGTATTTCATTCCTATTTATGCCAAATAATATCCTGTTTTAAGGCTATGCCATATTTACCCATTCATAAATTGATGGACATTTGGTTGTTTTCACTTTTAGCAGGTTATTTTTCTATGTTTCATCTTATTAATCTATAAAAATGGGAGTTAACAGCTGTCTGTTTCAAAGGATTACTGAAAGTACATATGGAAAATACAAAATACATTCTAAACTATAAAGCACTACATACATGTAAAGATATAATTTTAATATTTATATGAGATCAATTAAGGAATGTTGGGGCCAGTGTAATTTCCCTGAGCTTGTGGCCTATTGTTGGTTAACTCAGGGGAATTAGGTGCTATCTCTTTGGGTTTGATCTCTATGTTATGTTGAGTCCATTTTGCTTTTTTCCCTAGGTAATGGACTGTATCTTTTAGCCACAGCCTATCATCTCATTAGCATTTGTTGCTAGGAGACCAGGTTAGAGAATGCTTAGCTCAGTGCAACCCACAGCCAATGTAGAAAATCACCCGAATCATAGGATGATATTTAAACATCAAGGCAGTTCCATTTCATCCCAATTTTTAGTAAGTCAAGGAAAAAGGGCTGAAGCTACAGGTGTTCTTAGGGACCTTGCTTTACCAAATATCTTGCCAACCCCGCCTTCTATGATTTTAGGTTTGCTTTTCTTTACCACTCACACTCATGTATGCCAGGGTGACTTTTTTTTTCCCCCAACTGCTTAGCAAGTACATGTGCTAAGGTAATGCAAAAACACTTTAATATTAAAAAAGAGAAAATGAACTAAGAAGGAAAACTTGTTGCTATAATAAGTACAAAGATTCCAAAACTCAATTTAGATGTAGACACCATTTTACTCCTACCACCTGCTATTTTTCAGAGGCATTTTACAGCTTTAAAGTCTGTAGGTGCAAGGACTATAGAGGGGAAAGGCTGGGGTGATCTTCTAGTTTTCATCTTCATTTTATCAAAGGAGTGATGACTGGACTATATAAGAATGACTGTTTCCTTTACCACTAGTAACTGCCTGGAGCATAATTTCCCCTTCAAAGCCTTGGTAAGAGCAGCTGGGGATAATGAACAGTGGTTAAAAGATGCTTTGTTTTACATCCAGCAAAAAGGATCATTAACACCTCAACTGTTTTTTTACCAAGCCTGTGGAAGGCTCCTGCTGCTATTGATAATCACGGTAACCCTCAGGGTAGCAGGGGCAAAGGGGTGGGTAATTCACCAGAAAATGGTATTCACTGATTTGGATTATGTGCACCACTGCTCCTCTCCATTCATGTGCTTAATTAAGAGCTGACTAGTACAAAATAAATGAAACTGCAATTCTTCATTGGAACTATCTGGGGAGTAACAGAAATTTTGCAGGGAGGAGGGGTATACGCCAGAAAAACCGCATTACTCTCTATTATATTTCTCTTCTAGACTTTGTCTTAATGTCACATCTGATTCTGAAGGGGCAAAGACTTATGAGTCCAAGAGACATTCTATTGAAATGGTGATACAGGAGAAGGAGGGGGGAGTATAGTTTCATCTTCATTTTATCAAAGGAGAAATAAAGGCCAGGAACTGTGACCAAGATAATATAGCTAGTCTAAGGTGCAACTCCAGTCATGCCAGGGAAAACCTCAGAAGGACTGCAGAACTATAGTTGGCTCAATCTGATTCACAATATTATTTCATATCATTCAAAAGTTCCTGTAAAAGTCTTTCTAGTGACCAGCTGGTTGATTGCCTGGGGGTTATTTCCATTTGTTCAGTCCCTCAGGTAGAGAAAATGGAATTGCTTTCTTTTGGTTCAAGTAGGCAGGTCTGGATGGAGGGAACTGAACTTAGTTCACAAAAGGTGCCAGAATCTACACTCTTTAAAAAATACATATAAAACTAGAGTAATGAGTCAAGGTTCCAGGTTTCTCAAGCTCATGCTTCCTCAACTCCGTCTCCACCTCAAGGTAATGGCAGGGATACTTTTGTTGACTAGTTAAGGCAGGTGAAGAGAAATCCTTGGTGGGGTCTATAATTCCCACAATCCTTTTGATTACACTTTCCCCATAAGCTTAAAAAAAAAAGAACATGAACTCAAGGTTTATTTTAAATTACCAAAGTCCCTGAAGTAGAGGACTATTTATTTTTAGTATTAATGTGACTAACAATAATTCTCATTATTTTGACTTATCCTTTTTCAAACTCACTTGCTCAGAAAGTTACAAACCCATACAGTTTCTACCAAGTCCCACTAACCATTAAGAAAGGACTTATAACAATAAAAGTTATGTGCACATGAAAAACCAGAGTAGAAAAATGTCATTCAGAGGTATAATACAAAGAGAAAGAAGACTTTCTGTGATTTAAATAATGTTTCATGTCCATGATTCAGGAATGCTTCTATTGGGAGCTATGAAATCAAGGTGAGAAAACTTTGGTATCCAAATTGGATATTTGGGTTCTCTGCCATGCCATTTTGGGCTGGGCCTGAGGAGGAAGAAATTCTCAATTCCAGATCAGTCGCCAGTCCCAGGGTCAGGAGTGAGGACTAAGTACAAACATACACAAGGTCTGACCTTGGATGACAGTGGGACAACCTGGGAAACTACTCACTTGAGTCAGGCTGGCTGTGAAGAGCCAGGTCAGCTCTATTGCAGGCAGGGCCTTTATGCTACAGACCCTCAGAAGACTAGGCATTTTAAGTGAGAGGCTGATATAGCTGGAGTTAGGTGACTTAAAAGGTTGTAACCCACAAGGATGGAAGTAATAGCCCTTAACACTATGCTTCAGATAATTGACATGACTCCACCTACAGGGCAGCAGGACTAAGTAAATTCTTAGTAACTGAGGTTAGGCAGGATCTTAGGTCATAACTCATAGAAGAAGCTATAGGTTCTACTGTATAAAATACATGTACAGTATAGATTCAAGAGGCTGGGACACTTAGAGAGTGTGGCAGAATACATGGTCTTCAAAGATCTGCTTCTCTTTTGCTGGGAAGGTCTTGTCACATATTGGACAACTCAAACTAGGGGTCTGCAGGTGCTGCTCCAAGGCCAAGTTGTGATCAAAAACATCATCAGGAAAGTCTGATTTGCAGGTGGGGCATTTCTTGATGGAGAGCTGGGAGGAAGAACAAAGAGGTCAGTCTGAATGCCATGTATACATGGCAAAGACCATGTCTGACTTTCTACTGTATCCTCAGCACCTAGCATACTGCTCGGCAGATGGTAGGTGATCAAGAAACAGAAGATGAATGAGCAAATTCACATTTGGAGATACTCACTAGGGCTTTCTCTAACCCCAGGATTGAAAGGAAGCACTGGATATACCTTGTTTGGCTACCTGCTTGGTTCATCTTTCCTTCCCAGTCCTGCTACCAAACTCAACTCGCAGGCAGAGATCTTGAACAGAACAATGATGTGAACAGAACTGTGCTTTTTTTCTCTCTACCCAAACAGGCACTGTGCTCCTGGCACTGACCAAATTGATCTTGCTGACTTTGGAGTTATCACAATGAAACAGTCTCCCTACAGTTCTCCCCTAAACTGGATGGAGCAAGAAGGGAAATTTTCTCAAAGCTTTGATGTGGGCAATCTCATGACTCAAATACTTACCAGGCTTGGGGCAGAACTTTCTTGGATACCTGAGGGTAATAAAAAAGATTTCATTCAATGAAAAAGTATCTATGCACTCGAATGCATTCTCCAGCTGTATTCTAGCAGCTGTTTTCTTTAACCCTCATCATTCCTCTTCTGATTCTTTAGCTCCCATATATATCATCTATATCGATAGAGGGGATCTAGGTCAATGAGGGAAAAGAGGAAAAAATAATGAAGTGGCATTTTCAGTAGCCATTATATAATCAGAAAAAACAATAAACCTATTTTCAGTGTGGAGAAAATGAGATTTTAATGAAAACAGTAACAATTTAACAAGAAAATAGTCTGAGAATAGATTTTAAGACCAAATGCACATGAAGTCATTTTTTAAATGAAATGCTTAAAAGTAGTTTTAAGGAAAAATAAACTCATACCACTGTCTATTGCAAAGATGTGATTGTAACTGTTAAAAAATATGACTGCTTTAAACTGTCCCTAAAAAGCAAATAAGGCCTCATGTTGCTTTTGGAGACAAAAAAGCAGGAAAGTTCCCTGTGTGGCAAGGACATCTGCCCTCAGGTCCATAAATGATAAGACTGGCTGTCACCGCCCCCCCATTTCCTGTCCTCCAAACCACCCAGGGGTCTCTGTGGAGCACACCCCTGCTACCCCTGGTCAGGCTGTGGGGGTGGCTGCCTCACCACCCATCCTGGGCAGCAGAACCCGCCTCTTGTGCTTCCATTTCCAAATCTTAATTAGTTTCCTTGGCTCTGTGTATATCTTCTTCACAGAGACATTTCTCTGATTTATATATTTGGAATATAGCCACGGGACTCAATTTGTGTCTGCTGCCTCTAGGCGAATGATCTGATTTGCGACTTCTAGATTCAGATTTATTTCTCAATTAACACTTCTTGCCTGGCAATCTTTCTGTTGGGTACTCAGCTTCTGCCCAGCAAGTCTTAACAATGAGGCTGGTCTTAATTAGCATCTCAGATAAAAAAATTTAGTGGGGGAACAGGATGCAGGCAGGGGCTTCCCAGCTCAAATGGCAAAGTTCTTACCAGAATATGGGTTTCCAAAGACAAGTCCTGGGTCTTGTCTTGTACCTCCTTGATTCGAAGTGGGCACTTGATATGACAAAGACTCACAGTCCAGACCCATGTAACTCAGCAGTCTGCTGTTCTCTCTCTTCAAAAACTGAGGATAGAGTATTCACAGAGATATGTTGAAAGACAATAACAAAGAATGGCCACAAAGAACTGGCCACAGATGCGCATTACAGGTAGCTGTCAATTAACAATGTGGCACCAGAGAAGTCCAAGAAGTGATAAACCTTTATTCTTTAAAAGGGGAAGCAGCAGCTTCAATATTCCAAAGACTGAGGTCTTTTTCTTTAAGATTTTTTTATGTGGACAATTTTTTCAAAGTCTTCATTGAATTTTTTACAACACTGCTTCTGTTTTGTTTTTTTGGCCATGAGGCATGTAGGATCTTAGCTCCCCAACCAGGGATTGAACCCGAAACCCTTGCATTGGAAGGCAAGGTCTTAACCACTGGACCAACAGGGAAGTCCCAAAATCTAAGTATTAATATCTGAATTTAAACATATGCTGGATTTCATTTAGAATCAATGCAAAAAGGAATTTACAATCTTTAAATACATACCAACTGAAGTGGGTATAGAAGCTGTGTGGATATGTGAAGGTGGCAGGAGCTATATTAAGACTAAAAATGTTGTACATTATTGAGAGCAGAATGCTTCTTTAGTCTCCCTTCCTAGAACAATTTTCTTACATACTGTGAATGTTCTTCTCATATAATTTTCCCCTCTACATGTTTTAGCCGATCAAATGAATATGCTAACAGAGTGAGAGGAAGGAAGGAAGAGAGGGAGGGAATGCAAGGAGGAATGTAAGAAATCAAGCTGCAAGGGAGAGAAGTGACATTTAAAGTTCTCAGAAGAAAGAAAATTAGTAAACTTCTTAACATCTTCAGGGAGCTTTACTATGTTTTTAACAAAGCTTCCAAATATCAGATGTTCTTCTTGTTGTAAGCTGTGTGCATTCTTCCTTTCCCATCTTCTGCACACCCCTCCCCAAAGGCCCACCCATGTTATCGACTATTTCAAAGTCAGGGTACTTAATTAAATTAAGAGGATGAGAATGACAGGACCAGAAATAGACCCCAAAGTCCTTCTGCAAAACTGAAGCACATTGGCATAAATGATATAATCAAAGGTAGAAAGGATGACTGAAGGCACAGCCCAGAAGAGTTATGGAGAGGGAGGGAATGCGAGATGAAGAATGGCTGGAGGTATAGATCAGAGGAGGAGCCAGAATGCATGGACACCTGCTCTTTGATGCTAGCAAGTATGTGAAAATGACTTCAAGTTCAATCTTTTTATTTGTTGCCATCATTGTCAATCAATTAATAATAATGTGTTTAGCATAGAGCAGAAAATAAATACTGGTTGAATGAATGAATGAACTGATGAATGAATGAATGCACAGAATTTCACGGGGGCCTACCATGGGTCCAGCACTGGTACAGATCACCACTTCTGTTCCTAGTTTGGCAGCAGAGAAAAAGGAAAATGTTGTGCAGAAAGAAAGGAGTCCCTTGGCTAAATAGCATAAAAATGACGTAGGTTATTATTTCCCAAATACAATACTTACAATAGTGTGGAATTAAAAGCAAAAATAGTAACTTACATCTTCATCAAGGCTGTTCCTTTCAAGTTGACTACTGCCATGCCAAACACGTTTCAGTTACAGAACAAAGAGTAGGTTTTGTGGTAGATTAGGAAACCAAGTGAAATGTAATCTTTGTTTAGGGAAACTGTTTCATCCAATGTCCCAGAAAGAGCTCTTTTTACGTTATCACCAAATCTCTGGGGCATCCTGCTCCTTCCCTTTAAAACTCTTTTACCAAAATAAATAAATAAATAAATAAATAAAACTCTTTTACACACTTACATCATTTTCTTCTTCCATTTTCTCTTTCTCTCTCTGTAGAACATTATATATCATCTTGTTCTCACTCAGTCTTTTTGACAGGTCCATGTTCTGGTCCTATCAAAAAAAAAATTAAGATTAGGATCACATATTATAGTCTGGGTCTGAGGTGGGATACAACAAGGAGATAGTAGAAGATCTGGTTTCCAAAGTGATGGGACTGAGGTGGCGGCGAAGGGACCAGGGATGGGGACGAGTGGTGCCATGCAGGGGATGCAGACTTATAGAAAAGTGACTTAACAAAATGCCTGAAGGCTTGGGGTGGCATCAAGATGCCGGTTTCTTTTGGGTTAGCTGGGAGTAAGTGACCAAAGAGAGAGTTAGCTTGGGAGAAACCTCAAGACTGACTTATCAGAATGAGGGATAGAAACCCCACCCAACCATGGAAACAATCATTTTTGTCTTGAATGAACACCTCACTGAATGCACAGTGAAGAACTGAGTTAGGCTGATGCGACTCCCAGTGTGAGGACAGGCATGTGGACTCAAGTTACAAGGAGGAAGAAGGAACCCTGGATGGCATTTATCCAAGGCTACAAGGAACCCAGACTGGGGTCTTGGGCTTTCCAGTAAGATGGGTTCACCTGACTAGTTTCATGGACCCAAAAGTCATAGGCATGCTTCAGTGCTTCCTGTTTCCCACCTACATACGTACACATGCGCATACCTCACAAAAACACTTAAGCTAATCTTACTAGTTGTGGGGGTTTTTTTCCAAGATTTTTTATTTGAATGCTGGTGCCCAAAATGCTGTGCGCTTCTAGCCGACCCTGAGGAAGTAATGCCAGAGGGGGCTACCCGATGACAGTGCTGACTGGAGGCTCCTGGCTCCCCATCCCCATTGGCTCCTGCTGGCTCTTCTGGTCCTGCTTCACTTCCTCAAAAGGCAGAAATAAGAAAGGACTCTCTGAGTCTGCAGAGCAACCCACTCAATGGTTACAAAAACCTTCCCTAGACCCACGGCTAAGCTGAGGCTTCTATTTCCAGGGATCCCCAGACAGGTTTCTGGCCGCATACTCCATCCCTCCTCTTTTTAGCAGAAGGATAAATCTCTCTCCCTAACAAGGGTGTAAAATCCTAGTCCCAGAACTACAAACCTTCATACCCCTTGCTTCCTGGGCCCCACATCTCTGTCACCTACCCGAGTGGCAGCCCTGAGTTGCCTGATCTGTTTGTGGAGACGTTGACACTCTTTGTACTTCTCTAAGAAACAGGCTTTCCCAGCCTCTACTTTTGCCTTTAGGTGTTCCACCTCTTGTACTAACTGCTCCTCCACTGCTGTTTTCTTGTTCCTAGGCTCCTGAAGCATAAGATACGTAGTCCTCAGAGTTAGGGGCCTTTTAGATGCATGAGCAATAAAGAATGCTATCAGACAGCTAGGGAGCCCCTGGGTCTTGAAAAGTATTCCATGAAAACCAAGGAAACCCATATCTGCCACAAGGAGGTTTAAACCTTTGAATGGCTATAGATTATTTATAAACAACAGTAATCTCTTTGCCACATCAGAGGTCACAAACTCAAAAGTGCCAATAGGAGCCTGGCAAGTAATATAATTGAATGAAGGAGCAGGATGCCATGAAACAGTGAGACTGCAGCCACGTGGGGCAGGCAGGACCCATCAAAAGGATCAGCAGTTACTCAGCTCCAGACACCACTGCTGGACGGGAATGTCGGCTCAAATGTTGCCACAGCCTCTGATTTTTCAAGAAGCTGGAAATACCATTTTTTTTTAAATGGGACATATTCCCCTTTTTTCCCCCCCATTTTTAAGTGTTGATAAGCTAATCAGTTTTTTAAAAGACACTACTTAGAACAAATAAAACATTTCTGTGGAATATACTTAATCTGTGAGTTGCTGATTTTCAAATTTTGTTGAATCTATTCTTTAGTACATCAAGCTAAAATACACAGTAACACATATAGTAGGTACTCAATCATTGATTGTATAATGACTGAACGAATGATGCATGCATGATATGAGTTACATTCCCAATAACTGGATATTCTCCACACATCAGGATTTCTCAGGTCCTTACAACAGTTCAGAAAATGGGATTTCTAGCACTTGTTATCACCACAAGGCCTCTTCTACAACAATATATTACAGGAAATTATTAGTCAATTAGGCTTTCATCACTGTGTTGCATAGCTTAGAATAATGTATAAGGATGACAACTGCTAACATTATAATAATATTAATTATAACAAAATTTGACTACTATAATATTTTCTAATTTAGAGCTCATTTTATAATCATTAATGTGTCTGCCCCCATAGTTACTCTTTAAGAAGGGGGCAGAGGTTATTCTGTGTGATTCCTTACCCAAGGCTCTATTTACTACAACCTGTCATGAAGTTTAACTTACAATATGCCTCTGTCACTCATCATACATTAGAAATGCCCAGCTCTCCTAAATAGTTTGTAAAGGTCAGATTCTCTGTCCTTTTGGGTACAGAGAAAGAAGTCCAGAGGTAAATGCTATTCTAATCTGTCATTTACCCTATCACCTGAAAATAGGTCCTATCCTCTCCTTTCCTTAGGCACCCTCCCACATAGCCATTCAAAGACAGACGTGCCATTAACTCCTGTTGTTTCTTCGCTGCAGTAGTTTCTTTCTGCTTCATCTCCTCCACTGTCTGCTCGAGCTTCTTCTGGTGCTCCCTCTGCAGAAAAACAGATGATGAGTACCACTGCTGGGAAAACACACACACACACACACACACACACACGCACATAAGCACAAGTGTGCACGCACTGGGGAAGGGCCTGCTAAACTAATGAGCAAGACAGGGAAAAGCAAATCTTCTCTTATTAGCTTCTGAGAAAAGCCGTGAGATGCCTCATTTCAGATGGCTTCCCCTGAGACCTTTCCCAGAGCCTGTGATACCCACATATACAATAAAGAAAGAACAATGCATATATTTTTTCACAAAGGTCAAAAAATATTATTTTCTTTCATGACTCTACCTGTTCAGTTAAACTGCGAAAGAGCTGGCCATTTTCCTCTTTCAGGTGCTCCAGCTGCTCTGTCTTATCCTGAACTCCCTGAACAAGCTTCTCCATTTCTTTCCCTTGATTTGACAGCTGAGCCTAAAGCAAAAGTAGTGAATACAATCAAGATATAAAATAAGGAAACCAAAAAAATAAAAATAAAAAAAAGTAAAAGAAGGAAACCTAAACAGGAACAATGCTTTTAAACATACAGTAACATTAGAGATGTGCTTTCCCCAGCAATCCCTAGCTATCCCTATGAACGTCTGTGTTCTTCAGCTCTACCTTACACCTACTGGAGAAGGGGAAGGCTACCCACTCCATATTTTTGCCTGGAGAATCCCCATGGACAGAGGAGCTTGGCGGACTTCAGTCCATCGGGTTGCAAAGAGCTAGACACAACTGAGCAACTAAGCACAGCACCTTACACCTAAGAGTCTAAGACTCAATTGAGGAAAACTTGACAAACTACCCTTTAAAGCCCCACTCTAAGGCACAGCCTCCTAAAAATGAGAGCAGTTCTGCTTCTACCCGCTTATCCAGTCTTTTTAGTAAGATTTTGCTGGAAAAGATTTTGTAGCTGAAAGAAAAAAATTAGAAAGGATATTGGGGGGCGGGTGGCGTTCAAGAACGGAAAACACACACTCTGAAATTTCAGTCTGATGCTCTGAGAAGTCCACCATTAGGCACCCACTACAATGCACTATATCTTCCTGGATCACCACAGTGGAGTGGTGGTGAGGCTAAGAAAATCTACTTTGGCAAAGGTTTGGCATAACCTACCTGAAGCTGATCCACCCTGACTCCCATCTTCTCATTTTCTGAGGACATCTTCTGGTTTTGTTCTTTCAGTCTGTGGAGGTAAGAGATGACTAAATGAAAAATATGCTGATTCTAGTTGAGCTACCCCAGACCATAAATGATTTAAGGCTGCCTTGGCCCTAAGCCTGCAGAGTTATTTTAAAAATCCATTAGTCTCGGGACTTCCCTGCTGGTCCAGTGGCTAAGACTATGAGCTCTCAATGCAGGGGGCTCAGGTTCGATCCCTGGTCAGGGAATTAGATCCCACATGCCACAGCTAAAAGATTTCATGTGCCGCAACTAAGACCCTGTGCAGCTAAATAAGTTAAATAAAAAAAAAAAAAATCCATTAGTCTCTTCTTCAGTCCCGTTCTGGCTTCCTGACCTCAAAGTGCAAGTGTTCACTACTTAAAACTAATACCTGAATTCAGGTCATTTGTCTTTACCATTTTGATTCTAATTCTCTAATCTAGACTCAAAAAGCTCATGAGTCAAAGAGGGAGAGTGATACCTATCATTGTCCTAATAGGAAGACTGCACTAACAAATTCTAGAAATCTAATCTGACCTTGCCTAAGGGTGTTTGTAATACAGCAGCTCCTCCCATTCAAGAGTCAGACTCACTGAAGCAGCTCTATCTCCCAACAGTCCTTCTGTTCTTTCATTGTCTGTTCCAACTTCTTATTGATGCTTTTCAGGGTTTCCAGCTCCTCCTGTATATTGAAATGTCAAAGGGGCTGACTGATCATTTCTAAGGCAGTGTTTAGTATCTCAGGCAGCCAACAAATATTTATTGAGCACTTATAATATGTCAAGCATAAAAGGATTTTCATATTAAAATGTTAATATGTTCTTTCCATATTAAAAATACATTTACCTTAAGAGTTTGGGATTAACATATATAGACTACTATGTATAAAATAGATAACCAATAAGGGCCTATGTATATAGCACAGGGAACTATACTCAATATTTATAATAAACTATAAAGGAAAAGAATCTTAAAAACAGATATATATATGCATAATTAAATTATTTTGCTGTACATTCGAAGCTAATACAACACTGTAAATCAACTATATTTCAAATTAAAAAAAGAAAGGAAAAAATACATCTACCTTAATTTCTCTTCTAGTGGAGCTTATAGTTGTCCATTAAATCATTACACAAATATTTAACGAGTGCCTATATACACCAGACCCTGTTCTGGCACTGCAGACACAGCACTGGACAAAATAAAATTTCTTTTTTTCCTAGAAAAGTGCTGTCCAATAAATTCAGGAAAGTCACATATATAATTTAAAAAATTTAGCAGTCACATTAAAAAAGCAAAAACAGACATGAAATTATTTTATTAAAAGTATATGTATTTAATCCAATGTATCTAAAGTATCATTTTAATACATAAACAATAAAAAAGAAACACCTAATATACTAAAATCTGTGCCAGATACTAGTATAACAGAGTCAGATCAAACGAAAAAGTGGGTGCTGGGCAGAAGCCATCACCCCCACTCACTTTAACGAGCACACATACCTGCTTCTTTTGGAGCGTGGCCTGCATGTCTGAGTTTTGCTTCTGGAGGCTGACACAGCTGTCCCTCAGCTCGCGGTTTTCTTTGCAAAGCTCCTTGTTGTGCTGCTCAATTTCTTCCACCTCACCCTATGTAAGAACGTTTCATAAACATGTATTTGGCTTTTTATAGCTCAATGGATATTCAAGTCCCGCTGACATGAAATTCATGGTGAGGGTCTAGCTGGTCCCCGCTCACTGTGGTGACATCTGTGTACCCCAAGTGGAAGCAACCCCTCAGTAGGTAGGGAAGGGGGAAGAGAAATGTGTCTACCATAAGCGCTGAACCTGCCATTACCAAGAAAGAAAAGATAAACAAAATTAAGCCACAAAAAGTTAAAAGGGGAAATGACAGAAGACTGTAATTTTGTGTGTGTGTGTGTGCAAATACTTTATTTCTCCTATCAGACTCAGTTCTGTGAGACCAGAATAGGGTTTTAACAGATTCTTCATCACATCCCTAGTGTCCACCAGAGTGCTGGATGGAACTAGGTGTCCGGTTAAATAGCTGAGTAAGTAAATGAATCAAACTGAAAGATATTATACAAACCAGAATATCTGCTGTGTCTCTCCTCAAAGGAGCTTATAAAATTTACTGTAGTGATAAGATGTACACATGACAAAAATTAAGTAACTGGGCAAGTTAAGGGAATAACTGAATGCCAAGTGAGTTACAGAAGTTTCGGAGAAAGGAGAAATCACTTATTATTATGCTTCTCATTAACACTCTGAAGTCATTCCCTTCTGATGGGTTTGAATGGGACTGTGTAAAAATGTCACAACAGTATCTGTTAGACATTCAATAAAGGCTTACTGACTAAAATTCTACCCTACCCTGGGACTGCTACTCTTAATGGCAGGAAGGGACTGAGATGAGATGCTTACAGACCTGAGTGGTAACAACCAAGATGTCCTCTTCATTTTCGGGACGGAACTGGAAAGGGATACTCGCTCCCCGGACCGCACCATCCTGATCCACATAGCAGAACTGGTAATACTCGTCGTCCTTGGGCAGGTAATAAGCTGGAAATAGAACATGACTTTTAACCCCAAATGAGGTCTAGTCAGAAAACTACAAATCTGGAAATCTCTTATCTACCCCAGAAGGCTCTATCTAGCTCGAGAGAATTAATGAGTCGCGGTTGCTGTTTTTAATACTTTTGATCTAGTATTTTTCTCACCTTTGAACTGGACTTCCTGCTGTTTGGCTGATTCACTGTTTAGGTCGACGGGCAAAGTAACCCACATGAAGGTGTAGTACTCTCGGGTTGTCTTCCATCCAACCTGCAATGACAAGAGGCTCTTGTTCAGCATCTGAAAGTGCTCAGATTTAGGCTCTGTCTTCTGAAAATGCATCTTTTGTTATTTTAAAATTATAGTAGAATAAGTTCATTATCACAAGATCTACCCACAATGGATCAAATCTTTTTGACTTATGATAACTACATATACAATTAAAAATTGGTATGCATGCACATATACCAGTTACTCATAAATTACTCATCTTAGAAGGAAACAAAAACTGGCCACTCAGTACCCAGGATAAGAGTGCCAAATATTGTACCTCCAAGTCAGATACAGTACTGAGAGTGATTGAGAAGAAAAGTTGTGGGATTGTGAGCTTTGATTCTGCTATCTTCTTACAATGGTGTACTTGGAACTTCTTAATCAAGAAGCATTTCTGATCTGCCCTCTCTATTGGTTTGTCCTCTCCTGTGTCCAATTCAGTCTTGTCACCTATACCAACTTGGTTACATCACTGCCTTTAAAAATTGCTTTTTAAAATAATGTGTGTGGGGGCTGTATGGGCAAGAGAATTCTTAGATCAGGAGGCACCAGATAACTAAGTCCAGTTTGTATGATTTTCTTGCTCCAGTGTTTTTCTTAATATACGTTTATTGAAGATTTTTTGGTGATAAAGATTAAAAAAAAATCTGGTAGTCATAAAGGCCTCTTCCAGGTATGAAATGTAATAAGTCATAAGATATAAGGATGCTGTAAAATATGCCTCAGAGCAGAAAGCTGGCTAAGTGGGAAATATTCTCACGAAGTGTGAAAAGGGGTAAAAGATGTTCAAATCATATCTGGAAGATAAGAGCATACCGGAGAACAGAGAGGGAGTGAGTGTCTTCAAGGGGTGAACACTCAGAAAATAAGAAGCAAAATGATATTTATTGCCATATTTTGACTCTGCCTGAGCCCAGTGGGAAGAGCAGAAACTAAAAATAAACTCTATTTTTATATAGTAAGGAATCAGAGCATGGTTGAAAAGGCTATAAGCTCATCAGAACATACTGGGGCATGTTTTAGAGTCTCATTAATACACACCCCATTGCTGTGAGCACCTCTGAGCCACTGCAGCCTGTGGAGGGACAGGAAGCAAGAATTTTATGGAGTCTTCATTCACATCCTGGAGCTTCTTAATGCACTGTGACTAAAATATCATCTGGGAAGGCCTAAGAATTACTACTGCCTTGGACCAAGGAAGCAACTTCCAGTCACCTGAGCTTTCTGTCCTTGGCTCCTCTGTCTCAGGAGTCCTCGTCCCAGCCTGCCTCTTGTGGTATGACCATGGAACATGGCATAAGAGCCCAGGTAAAGGACAGTAGGGAGCACAGGGCTCTATGTTGAAGGAAGAAAACCTGACTCCAAACCACTTTAGCTTTTATCATTGGTGGTAGCCTTCACTCTATGGAGAAGATGGAGCATGCTGCACATGCAGAAACATTTTGTGAGGGCCCCGTGGGTGCCAGGAACCAGTGGTGTTAGGGCAGATGAGGAGTTGAGGAGCAGGATTAAGACTACACTGCAAGAACACCAGGAACATTTTAGAAGTGAGCTAAGAAGGACAAGCATTGAAAAGCAGAGATATTACTCTGCCGACAAAGGTTCGTATAGTCAAGGCTATGGTCTTCCAGTGGTCACATACGGTTATAAGAGCTAGATCATAAAGAAGGCAGAACGCCAAAGAATTGATGCCTTCGAACTGTGGTGCCTGAGAAGACTCCTGGAAGTCCCTTGGACAGCAAGGAGATCAAACCAGTCAATCTTAAGGGAGATCAACCCTGAATATTCACTGGGGGGACTGATGCTGAAGCTGAAGTTCCAGTATTTTGGTCATCTGATGTGAACATACGACTCACTAGAAAAGTCCCTGATGCTGGGAAAGATTGAGGGCAGAAGGAGAAGAGGGCATCAGAGGATGAGATGGTTGGGTGGCATCACTGATGCAATGAACATGAACTTGGGCAAACTCTGGGAGATGAAGAGGGACAGGGAGCCCTGGTGTGCTGCAGTCCATGGGGTCGCAGAGTCAGACACGAATGGATGAGTGAACAACAATAAAGGAAGGACAAAAATTTACATTCAGCCCTTAATTCTCTAATTTACTATCTGTTGTTCAAAGGAATTCAGCAGAAGAGAGGAAGAAAAGCAGAGGCTTGAGAGTCAAACAAAGGTCTCCAAACAGGGAGACCTTGGGAAAATCACCATCTTGCGTATGTTCATTTTATTCATCTGTGCACAAGTAATAAAACTGCTTACCTCAGGGGACTGCTGTGCTGTGAGGATTAAATTAGAAAACACACACCCCCACAAACACACCAAAAAAAAAAAAAGAAGGAAAGAAAACCCCATCAAAGACCTAGCACATCATATGTTCTCAAAAAGTTTGTGTTCTCTCTTTATTAGTCTTAAAATTTTCTTTCAGGATTTAGTGGTGGTGATTGGTGGTTTAGATGCTAAGTCGTGTCCGACTCTTGTGATCCTGTAGACTGTAGCCTGTCAGGCTCCTCTGTCCATGGGATTCTCCAGGCAAGAATACTGGAGTGAGTTGCCATTTCCTTCTCCAGGGGAACTTCCTGACCCAGGAATCGAACCCGGGTCTCCTGCATTGCAGGTAGATGATTTACCAACTGAGCTATGAAGGAAGCCTTTCAGGCTTTAGGGTAGGTGTCAAATCAATAGCTTTTAGGGAATTAATTCCCTGGTGGTCTGGTGGTTAGGACTCGGCACTTTCATTGTCAGTGCCTGGGTTCAATCTCTGGTCAGGGAACTAAGATCCCTACAAGCTGAGTGGTACAGCCAAAAAAATATGATCTAAAAAAAAAAAAATACAGTGCTTTTAAACATTTGTTTTTAAAAAGATTAATCCTTTCATTTGGTTTAGAGTGACGTCCTCGCTGGAAGTTGCTAAGGCTTGGGAATTATAAACAATCAGTCTGAGCAAAATGGGAAAAAAAGTTAGATTACCTCTGAGAAGCTATAAATAATTTTTAATCATTCTTTTCTTCAATTATATATACCGTTTTTTCAATTATATATATATAGCCACTAGCTAGCATATTGAAGCTACTTAATTTAAAGAGTATGAAGCTACTTAAATTAAAATTAAATAAAATTTAAAATTTAGTTACTCAGTCACACTAACTACATTTTAAGTGCCATTAGCCACATGTGGTGAGAGCTTACTATACTGGACAGCGAAGCAGCCAGTATAGCTCCTTCCTAGAAATTCTACTTGTCAGTGTTAATCATCGAAAGTTCTACTGGACAGCTTAGATACATATGGGGAAGAAAAAAAACAGTTGCCATCTTCTTTCCAAGATAGAAAACACCCTGCTGTGTCAGGTTTCTGCTAGGACACCTTTAGTCTAATGAGTCAACGTCCTGCGGTCTCAGGAGCTGTCGTGATATTCGCCAGTGTCCCTCTGCTTGTCCACTATCCCCAGGTCTGAACACTAGCCTTGTTACCTCCAGCTTCCATCACTCTTTCATTTATCTTGAAATTCCAAACAATTAAGAGAAGGAATTTGATGAGGGATGTGAATTAGCACCAGCTCCTACATACTGCAGTCAAGAATGATGTCTGATTTCAGGATGAACAATGTTGGCAAACAAGTACATGACATACTGAGGTGTCAAAACAAAGGTCACTGACGCTGGAACTCTGCAGTGTAAATAATGTATGTTTGACCTTTATCTCCTATCTCTGGAAATAGGACAATTTGTCATTATGGTATGTGAATAAATGAGTGAGTGTATGTGTCTGTGGCAGGGGGAATGTTAGAGATAGAGAGAGACATGTGGGAAAGAAGGGGAGGTAGAGAATAAATTGACTATAATAAAAAAGTACCATTTCTGTACTTGAACTGACATGGTGATTAGACACTGGAAGAGGAAACCAAAGGAGCTCATAAACTTTCTGTTCTTGGAAATCTTCACAAAGAAGCAAGACACACTTATTCAGGAACAAACTTCTTGGATGCAGGGTATTAACTTTTCAACAACCTTTCCAGATTGGTAACACTCATATTTAAAAAAAATTAAACACTGTACTAAATAAGCAAGTGACATTAATTCACAGAAATTATGTAAGAGGCCATCTACCCCAGTCAGGTCATAGATGAATATTAATTTAAAACATATTTACATTTGGTTTTTCAAAGTGTAATAAAACTTGGGGACTGTATGATTTGCTATCTTATTTTAGCTTAAGACTGAAATTAAAATTTGAGTCTTATAGCCCTGTTGATGTGTGAAGGGGGAAGTGCTAGGGAGCTTAGTTTAGGATTTTAACATTGGTCACACATATATGCAAAATGCTTATAATACAGAGACAGACACACACTCAGGTAACTAAGATTCACCTCTGGTTCCTAATCATTTGGTACTAAATTAACACTTACTCTAAAGATGCCAATCCAATCCTTTCGACGGGGAATGAAATGTTGGGTGAGGGTGTAATAGCACGTGATGTCCCCCCCAGGGATGTAGAACTTCTCCACACTGTTAAAGATGACCTGAGAGAAATGACAGTGGTCCAGCAAGACAGCTGATGTGGGGGGATCTTCTACTGTCTCTTCCATGGTAGGGGTCCTGTTAAGAGATATGGGATGGAATAAGGCTCAAAAGGGTTGTCTGAAATGCCAGAAATTTCTGGGCTCTCACCCAGGGAACATTCCGTTCAGGGCAAGTCAGGAAAAGCAAAAGCCTGACAAGTATTGAGATCACACAACTTGCTTTCTGTTTCACTATGAGCCACTTTGCATTCACAACTTCCTATGCTCTAAGAATTTTCTGAGACTATCTTTGACCTCTTCACCACAGGCACCACCATCCTCATTATATCCTTATCCTCTGCTCATAGCTAATTTTCTCCCTTTCTTCTAAATGCTGTAAGTAAGGCAGCCTTGAGGTAAATTCCCTGAGCTGGGAACTGTAAGACTTAGATTCTAAATTTTTTATCCCAACAAGCCCTGTGACTTTTGGAACATCAATTTCTCTAGATTTCAGCTTCTCTATTCAATTCCATTCATCCTGTAATTATCAGATCCTTCTTAATATTAAAGCACTCTGCTAGGGGCTGGGAATGAGTGCAGAAAGATAGGCCTAAGAGAAGATTATTTGACATGCAGTCGTGACAAGCACAGGTTCAGAAATCAAAACGCTGGAGTTCAAATTCCAGCTTCACCACCTATAAAATGCATGCCCTTGGGTAATTTATTTAACTGGATTTTGCACATGGTTCCTCATCTGTAAAATGGGGTTGATAACATCTACCTTATTCTTTGTGTGTATGTGTGAGCATTAACTGAAATATAGGTATACCTTGCAGATATTGTAGGTTCAGTTCCAGACCATCTCAATAAAGCACATACTGGATAAAAGTGAGTCACACAATTTTTTTTTTGGTTTCCCAGTACATATAAAAATTCTGTTTACATTATAATCTATTAAGTGCTCAGTAGCGTTATGTCTAAAAAAATAATGTACATACCTTAATTAAAAATATTTTATTATTAAAAAGTGCCAAAAGTAACATCAAAGATGACTGATCACAGATCACCATAATAAATATAAAAATAATGAAAAAGTCTGAAATATTGCAAGAATTATCAAAATGAGACATGAGTGAGCAAATGCAGATAGAAAAATGGTGCCAACAGACTTCCTTAAGATATGGTTGCCACAAACTTTCAATTTGGTAAAAAATGTCAAAAGTATCTGTGAAACACAATAAAACTAGGTATGCCTATAGTAGATAGTGACTAGTCCTTAAATCAGTACCTGTCATAGAGTAGGCAATTCACACAAAGTAAAGGCATGTTTAATTGCTAAGTTATGTTCAACTCTTTGTGATGCCATGAACTGTAGCCTGTCAAGATCCTCTGTCCGTGGGATTTCCCAGGCAAGCATACTGGAGTGGGTTGCCACTTCCTTCTCCAGGGAATCGAACCTGTGTCTCCTGCTTGGCAGGCAGATTCTTTATCACTGAGCCAACTGGGAAGCTCCTAAAGTCATGCTGAGTGACAGAATAAAGTACTTGGACAAAGTCTGCATAAAGAGAGGGCTTAACAGACGTTATTATTACTTTTGTGGGTTTTTTTTTTTTTTCTCTCTTCTGGGCATACAGTCTTTGCCCTCAAAAGGGTCGCAATCCAATATGGAGGTTAGATGAGAATTTAAGTGACTGCCAGATGGATAAATACATGCAAAATGCTCCTGGGTTCAAAAGAGACAGAGAGAGACGAAACTGGTTAGGGAAATAAAGAAAAGCTTTGAGCAGTGAGTGGAATCCTGGGTAAGTCCTCAAAGAAGATTAGGGTTTTGACAAGTGTGTTTGAGGGTGAGGAAACTTCAGATGAATGTTAACAGCATGCATAAAAGCAAAGAAACAGAAAAATGCAGTCCATGTTTGGAGGATAGCAAGCAAGTTTGGATCTCTACAAAATGGAGACAGTAAGCTGTATTTCACCTTTCGAGGTCATAGTACACATAAAATGTGATCAAGGGTGGGGAACTATTGAGGAGAAAAAAACAATATGTAAAAGAAAGAAAGTCTTTAGAACTGTCAGGACCTGATACTTCCTGCCCTTCAAAAGTCACATGTCCCGTGTTCTAAATGCCTCCTTGGTCTAACATTTGGTGAGTCCATGTTACTCAACCCTCAGCTGTACTGGGAAATGAGAACACTGCAGCTCTACACAGCAGATGAAGAAAGAGCTGTATATATGCAAAAACGACATAATACCTTACAGATTCAGCTGCTAGAACATGTTGGAAGATTGTATACACACACATGCAAACACAACTTAAAAAAATAGTCTTAAGTACAATAACCAAAAAACACAGTAGCTCTTCTGGCTCTGCCCCACCCACTTATTTCCTGGTTTTATTTTGAACTCTAAGCAAACAGGCCTCCTCTTCCAGCTCCCCAGAAGTAAGTTTTTTCACAGGGAAGGCAAGAGGACTTTGAGGTACTCAACTGTCTGTTCTTGGGACTGAATTGAGGAGCTAAGAAATGTATTGGCTTTCTGGTTTGTGACACAGTTTGGCATATCCTCAATGTCAAAACTCAGATCAGTTTCTCTAAGGAAAGGTCATATTCCAGTCTAGGCCAGTACTTGTTCCTCCTGATAAGCTGTGGCCTGCTGATCTGATGAATGCTGCAGAAGGATGGGTAGGGAGATTTTTCACTGTCTTTCCCAGTGGTCTTCAGTCCACTGGGGCCAGCACAGCCCCTGGGTCCTAAGCCTGGAGCACCATTTATCCGAGCATGTGACTTGATCTCTGCTTTACCATGGATAATGATCAATACCTCAGGTAAGAGTGATTTCAGGCCCTGTCTCTCAATTTAACCTAAGTAGCATCATACTCTCTGTTCTTTTCCTTCATAACACTATCATAACTGTATATACAACACTAATGCTAGCCCATAGTAATCACTAACTAAGTACTCACAGAATAAATGAATGAATAAGATACATATTAATTCCTCAAAAAGTGAAAGGAAGGAGCTTTGTAGGTAAACAGTGGTGTGTATGATGGGTGGTGCTAATTCTTGTCTTTAGCCCTGCTCCTAATTTGTTCGGTGTCTTTGGAGAAGCTGCTGTTTCTCAGTTTTCTCTTTTCTAAAATAGGGTGAGGAGCAAGTTGCTGGTGGCTAAGTGGTTAGGATTCTGGGCTTTTACTGCTATGGCCGGGATTCAATCTCTGGTTGGGGAACTGAGATCCTATAAGCCACACGATGTGGCAAAAAAAAATAAAAAATAAAGTAGGGTAAAGAGATGAAAATCTCCAAGTGTTATGTCAGTTCTTGGTATAGCTGGTTCAGCAGGCAGAGCTGGTTCAAGTGGCGTGGTGCCAAAAAAATAAAAGGCACAGATCTGATTTCCTTAAGGACCCATAAAATTCACACTCCATTACCTGCCTTCCACACACTCAAACTCTGGCATGCTGTTTTTGCAAATGTATGTTACTCTGAAAGGCAGGACCAGTCAAGGGTAGGGGAGTTTGGTACTGCCTCTCTTTCTTTACTAGAAAAACAATCAATCTGTAAGTTAGCTCAGAAGAGAACACTGAAGAAATGACAGCATATGTACACAAAATGACATGACAGAGCTCATGCTCTGAGGCTTGAGTGTATAGCCAATGGAATCTTTGCTGTTGTTCAATCACTAAGTCGTGTCTGACTCATTGTGACCCCATGGACTGCCGCATACCAGGCTTCCCTATCCTTCACTATCTCCCAGAGTTTGCTCAAATTCATGCCCACTGAGTCAGTGATGCCATCCAACCAACTTATCCTCTGTCGCCCCCTTTTCCTCCTGCCCTCAATCTTTCCCAGCGTCATCTTTTCCAGTGAGTTGGCTCTTTGCATCAGGTGGCCAAAGTACTGGAGCTTCAGCTTCAGTCTTTCCAATGAGTATTCAGCATTGATTTCCTTTAGGATTGACTGGTTTGATCTCCCTGAAGTCCAAGGGACTCAACTCTCAAGAGTCCTCTCCAGCACCACAGTTTGAAAGCATCAATTCTTTGGTGCTAAGCCTTCTTTATGGTCCAACTTTCACATCTGCACGACTACTGGAAAAATCATAGCTTTGACTATATGAACCTTTGTCAACAAAGTGATGTCTCTGCTTTTTAGTATGTTGCCTAGGTTTGTTATAGCTTTTATTCCAAGGAGCAAGCTTTTTGATTTCAAGGCCAATAGATGGGACTCTGACATGGTTACTTTTTTTTTTTTTTCATCTCAGTTTCCAAAATGATTAAGGTCCTCAGAGGAGGAAGGCAATGTATTTTAAAATGAGTCTCCTGAACTGGCTCCTGGCTTCTAAGAAAACCTGACACATTTTCATATAACGAGCATCTCAAGAGTAATATACCTCTCCTAGGACTGTTCCATGAGGGCATAGATTCTCTTATATTCTCCTGAAGAAAAGGAACAGAAAAGACAGTTCTACTCCTGCTCTTTCTGAATGAATCTGTAAACTACACCGATAACACTTTTTAGCAGAAAAATCAAAAAATGTTTTAAACTTTCTGATTAGGTTCTAACAATGCAAATATTCAACCAAATCATCTTACCAATTTTCCTAAAGAATTTTCATTATGCTAAATCAGGAAGAATAATCTTATTTTAAAAAAAAAACAAAAACTAAAATTCTACCACACAAATGTCCAACATTTTTGTTAGTCTTTTATACCAGTGGGCACATGTTTCATGAGAAATGAAGACTACAGATAAGTTTCCCTGGATTAGTTCACAGAAAGCAAATACATCTGAAGCCCAGAGAGAAATGCTAATCAATTCTTCATTTGGGAACAGTTAAAAACAAAACACACATTCAACCCAATTCCTTCATCCTTCTGCTTACTTAACTTTCTAAACTACTGCTGTTGCTGCTGCTGCTAAGTCACTTCAGTCGTGTCCGACTCTGTGTGACCCCATAGACGGCAGCCCACCAGGCTCCCCCATCCCTGGGATTCTCCAGGCAAGAACACTGGAGTGGGTTGCCATTTCCTTCTCCAATGCATGAAAGAGAAAAGTGAAAGTTAAGTCGCTCAGTCCTGTCTGACTCTTAGCGACTTCATGGACTGCAGCCTACCAGGCTCCTCCATCCATGGGATTTTTCAGGCAAGAGTACTGGAGTGGGGTGCCGTTGCCTTCTCCGTCTAAACTACTAGCAATTAGCAAAATGGATGGACTGATTTGAATCCCATTGCCCCTGGCCCTGCAAGAGATGCTTCCACAAAACTACCCTTTAGAGAACACTGACAATAGCTACTATGGATGTGTAGATGGCCCTGAGATGGGGACCAAAAGCAAAGATACATAGTCACTGGACCTCAGATTATTATAGCCACTTGCTATAATCCAAATTTTCCAAGTTCATTCTAGTTCCTTACCTAAAATATTTGAGTGACTTAAGTAAATTTTATACCCCCAGGAGACTTTTATTGCCTAATTCACTAATAATTGTTTGGATTTGTTATCTAGCTTATTCTAAGCAGTCTTCATCCCATATACCACATCACTGTGCCCAAAGTACTAAGGAAAAACAGAGAAACAGTTCTGAGCAACCAGAAGAAACTGCAAAAAGCTCAGAGCTGTGTACTCCATCTCCATTTTCTTTCATTTTACTTTACTGAGATTTTATACTTTTTCTGTGAAGAGGGTGATTATGCTAACCCTTGAAGTGATAAAGGCAGTGACAGTGTTTGATGTGCAGCAGAAAGGGAACTAAGCTAGGAGCCAAGGGACCTGGGTCCATTAATTCTGCCACTAACTAGCTCTGAGATCTTGGCCAAGTGATACTACTTTTTAAACCTCAGTTTCCTCATCTGTAAAAATGCATGGATCAGGCAAGAAAATCTCTAAGAAACTTTCCGGCTATAATGATGATCCCAAGTGAAGGAAAAAGGAAGTGAAGACAGAGTTTAACTGTCTTCATATAAGAAAATGAGGAAGCATGGTATTATATTCATAATAAGCGCAGTCAAAATTTTGAGGAGCCTTATTTGTACTGACTCCAAAGTCCGCAGGATATATTAGGGTTGTATAACTCTTACTACCCTTCTCAGAGTCCTTTCCACTCCACCGATATCATTTATGCAACAGGGTAGAGTTTCAGATAGAGGCCCTCTGAGAGCATCTGTGAAAGTGAGTCACCTGGATATTCCTTAATCATTAAGGATATTGTTTAATCATTTCTTAATCATCTACATAATCTACAAAGGCCTACTGTATAAAAGTCTTTTGCTTTTAAAGGTTTTTGCAGTAGTGTAGTTGTTATATAGCTTTTCTATTATTCTACTCCGCTCCAACCATGGCTACTTGTGTGCTTACGTCAGAAGCAAAGACTCGGAGGGAGAGAGAAAAGTTTAAATGTCCAGGAGGGTTGAACTCAATAAATAAAAGTGGGAACATTACCCCCACTAATGTTGGGGCTAAACTGGGAGGAGTGTTGAGTGGGGAAAGGCTACAGGAGATCGATGGTAAAGAAGCAGGTCACCGCACTCCAGCTGCTCTCTCTTCTCAGCTGTCTAGAACATCTCCTCCAATTACAAACGGCAACTGAACGAAGGGGCTTCAGTGATCAGGACGAGGAAACTGAGACCCAAAGAGAAAGTAACTTGCCTAGGGTCACTGGGCAGGGTCCCGCTTCTGCACCAAGTCGACCGCGATGACGATGACATCAAGCACCGGAATTAAGGAGCCAGCACGACCTCGGCCGGCGTGGGGGGGCATGACGCCGTGACTTCAAGACCCTCACTCGGGTCAGAGGATTCCTTCTGTCCCAGGGACCGCCCACGCGGCCCGGGCACTGAAGCCCTGCCCTCCTTGGCAGAAAACTGCCCTCAACCCTCCAAAGGCCGCGGAGAGGCTCCAGGGGGCCCATGACGTCACTCCCACTTACGGTCACCCCAGAAAGATGAAAGGAGGTGAAAACCGAAACCAGCCGCACCTCCGCCCGCCCATGGCCCTTTCTCAGGACTGGAAGTGTGAAGGCGGAGAACCTGAGGGCCCAACTGTCCCTAGTTGCCCGCCTTCGCGCCAGAGACTCACCAGGGGCTGCAGCCAGCGGCAGCGCAACAGCAACAGGGCACAGACGGGGACAGAGGCGGGGCTAAAAAGCCAGGGACGCGCTGACCTGTCTGACCCCGCCCATCACGTCATAACGGTCAGCAAGTCCCGCCCTCACCGCGGTGCTTTAGGGGACTTGTAGTGCTCAGGTGCTTGGGTTCCAGGGTTTTCCGTCAACTTGTGTGTTCCGGAGCAGCAATCACATCCCAAGGAGCTTATTTCTTCCCCTAGAACGAGACATTTACTTTGATAAATAAATAAATAAATAAATAAATAAAATTCTTTCAGTTTTGAATGAGAAAGCTCCATACATTTGAAGGGCCATTGAAAGACCATCTTCATTTTTCTCCTGTCTCCACAAAATACTTCCCTAAGAGTTTTACAGATGAGAATGCCTTTGGCATTTAATCATGCCTCCCACCTGCCCAGGGAGACCCAGCAATCTCCCTGGGTGCCCTAGTTTGTTGTTCATCATTTCCCCTCTAGGAAGAAATTATTCTTTAATGTTAACTCTGTCAAAGTAGTGCCCTTCCTAATTGGGTTAAGAATAAACTCAGCAAGAGTTCCTGCTAAGTCAGTTTAGAGAAAATTCCCCCACCTTTTGATATCTGATGAAACCCTGGCCTATCTTCTGCAAGAATCCTGTAAGTAGGTTTAGCAACAATCCTCCCACCTTGATGTCTTCTCTTAGCAATTTTCCATCCACTTGTCCTTATTGTATTTGGAGTCTAGTGCAGTCTCTCTCCTTTAGTGTAATGTACTCATTACAATAGTCCTGGATAAAGTCCCTCTTTTATCACGTCAGGATAATTATTTCTTAACACGGAACATGCTGACTATGGAAGATTAAATTCAGAAGTGCCCCTTCTCCAAGGTGCAGCATCTGTCTAAATCTGAAAGGTAACTTTTCTGTGTCATTTAACGGGGGATCTTATGTCCCCGAAGCCACTTGAGGTTTCAGGCAAGAGAATGAGCGTTTCTAATTCTGCCTTCTCACAAGATTCCTGGCACTCAACTGAGATGAAAAGATGGTGGGAAATGGTGAGTAAACCCAGGAGAGGGGTTTCTGTTGAAAGTTCTAATTACCTTCTGAGTTACCAAAATAATACGCTTCTATCTTAAACTCTGTCTACTGCGGTGAGTGATCTCAAAATCCTGGATATATTTCTATTAATGTTACTTACTAGTCTTTTGAAAAGCACTAGGAGTTGACACCTCCTACACACACACAGCTTACAGTTGAGGTGGTAGTCCTCCTTACTGCCGTAAGAATAAACTCAGTTATGTCTTATCAATTGGTTGTTTTGTTGATAGTTTGGGGAGCTAAATTTGACAGCATAGAAGAAAAAGTTCAGTCTGATGTTTCCAATATAAGTGTCAAGGGAAGGCTGCAAGTACAATCCTTTATAACTGAATATTAAAGAAAGGAGAATTTATATTTAGACCTACAAAGAAAATCTTCCACTTCTATCTTCAACTGCTAGATATGGGGGCTAACTAAGACTGGAGATTAGGTTACTCCACTGCCTGACACAGTGGGTTATCTCATTTAATCCTTATAAGAGAAGCACTCTTACTATCCCTATTTTATAGTTGATAAAATTGAAGCTTAGAGAAATAAAGTTGCCTGCCCCAAGGTCACACAGCTAGTTAGTGCCATTAGAAGGCTTTGAACCCAGCATTCTGATTCCAGTGTACTCAATCACTATACTCACTGTATTTTTCATGAGAGTTCAGTAATCTGTAAGGGAAGACAAACAAACACATAAATGAGTTTAATACCATGATATTGGCTTTAGGAGAACTGTTACGGTGCTAAAACAAAATTGACTTTTCCTAGGGCCAAGAAGGAAGCTTTCAAAGAAGTGTTAAAGAAAAAGTTATTCTGAAGCCTGTTAAAATGATAACAAGACTTTATTCAGAGCTATTACAATAGAAACATTGCAACAGGGGAGAGAGATTGCACTCAACTCCAAATACAATAAGGACACATAGGAATTCATAGCCATTTAGCAGAGTGGGGGGTGAGTAGATGCAAAACTACTAAAAGGACTTGATACCAAGGGTAATGAGGCTTCTTGCTCAACTGACTTAATAGGATTTTTGCCGAGGTCAGGCTAGGAACTGATAGATGTCAGGGTGGAGGATTCTTTCTGAATCAACTTAGGGTTTTTGCTGAAACTGAACTTGCCAAGGATAGACACAGAAGCCCAAGTTTGAGGCCAAGTTGAGAAAAGGGGTCAGAGGAACCTAAGCAGAGTTTGGTCAAAGAGAGAGTGTTTGTCAGATGCTTGATTTATGTGAGTAACAAATGTGGCAGGCAGAAAAAGGGGTGGGAGGGGAATTTGAGATGGAGGGAGGGAGTGGCCATCTGCAGTAGTGCCTTTACCAGAATTCTCTGTAATGATAGAAATGTCCTCTATCTGTGCTATTGGGTCCAGGAGCCACTTACCACATGTACATCACCCACAGAACGCTTGAAATATGGCTATTACAACTGCGAACCGAATTTTTATTTAATGTAAATTTAACTAGGTTTATGTGACCACTGTCCCAGCTAGTGAAGATCTGCTGGAGCTAGGTGACAGGGCTGTGGACTTTGGAAAGTAGAAGCAGAGGCAACCTCAGAGAAGGTGCCCAGCTAGCTACTACTGCTTTCACCTTCACCCTCAGCTCTAGTCCTGCCCAGAAACCAGTGACTCCTCTGGCCTTTGGACTGTCAACTCCATGGAAAAGGAAGGTGAGAGGAATTTTATCCCTGAAGCTTGCTATCTCTGTAACCATCTAGAGACTCTACAGTTTGATAACTTACAATGTAGAGATAGCTTGTATGCCCAGGTTTGAGAAAGAGAAGGAGTAATCAATGGCAAGAAGGCAACTAAAAATTATGTCAAGTGTGATGTTTCATAAACTTCAAGCAAAACCAGAACCAGCCATGCCTCACATTAATCAGGTGTTTCTAAAATGTGCTGGCAAACCAATCATCTACTTAGAACTTCAGGGGATGCTAATATTTAAGAGTGATTTGGAGTGTCCTGTTAAACATTTGGGAGGCATATATTTGTGTTTTAAAAGTACATTATGTAAACAAAAAAAAATTTCTGTAATTCCACTCATGTTTTCAAGACTGCCATCTGTAGAGAAAAATGTGTCTGTTGCACACTCTTCCTTTAATTAGCTGATTCAAATCGATTCAATAGAAATTATTTCACAATTCTGTAAATTGTAAGTAATTTGTGGACAGGTGATTTTGACTTGTCTGATAGAGGTTTGATTGTTTTCCCTCCTTTTCTTGTGGGAAAAAAATCAGTTTTGTCTCAGCTTGCAACTCCTCTCAATATTCTAATGTAAGAAATTTTCACATATTGAGGTATGGGGAGATTGTTCTGCTACATGATTTAACTTAAATTTTATGCTGTTTGTGGCCTATGAAATGTATATTATATATCTGTTTTGCCATCAAAGCAGATGGTATAGTGACCAGAAGTTTAAAATGTCCATAAAAATTAAATGCCTCCCTTCCTAGGACACCAATGCTTGAACTCCTTCGAGGTGTTGACTCCTCGAGGAGTCAACCTTCCCAGGTGTCAAGACCATACCAACTTGCTGTGTATATGCTGATCTGCTTTTTTTTTTTTTTGAAAAGTTGAAGGAACATATCCCTGATGATTTGTTTGATATTCTTTGTTCTGACAAGATATAAAAGTGTATGGAAAACCATGCTTCTCCAGAGCAGTTCTTCAGAGTTATCTGAGTGGCTGTGTCCTGCGTTATAGTCCTCAATTTGGCTAAACTATAACTCTTTTCTATTCCTATTACAGTTTGGTTATTAATTGTTTACATTGACAATGCTTGGGGGTAGTTGGCAGGATATCAGAAAAGCTGGCCTGAGGTCACCTGTATCCTACTTCGGGCTGGTGCTTGGTACCAAGCCCCTTGAAGACCCCCATCCCCGCCCCACCTCTGCCTCACAGCACTCTTCAGATGCTTTGGTGAATTTTCCCTGATATCTGGATATCCTTTTATTAAATGATAGTCCATGACTTTTATTTGAGCTGTTATCTTAAGATCTGTAGTCTTAAGGGGGTAACAGTTCATTTCCTACATGAAAGGAACCTAGGGAGAATTCTTAGACAGAAGACCTAGGGGGAAATTCCTAGGCAGGGACCAAGGGGGAATTTCTAGGCAGGAAAGACCTAAAAGAAATTTTGGAATGAACTAGGTTGGCTAAGCTTTTTTTAAAAAAAGTGTGGCTTAAAATTGGAAAGATGTATATGTTATAGTAAAATTAAACTTTAAAAAAAATGAAAACTATGCTTCTAAAGCTTATCAACTCATGGACAGACAGCCACCCACTGAACTGTTGGCTTCATGTATAAGTGATGTGGAGCCAGTACTTGCAAATACTTAAGTGTGTGTGTGAGTCGCTCAGTCGTGTCCGACTCTTTGCGACCCTATGGACTGTATAGACTGTAGCCTGTCAGGCTCCTCTGTCCACAGAATTCTCCAGGCAAGAATATTGGGTAGACATTCCCTTCTCCAGGGCATCTTCCCAACCCAGAGATCAAACCTGGGTCTCCTTTATTGAAAGCAGATTCTTTAACATCTGAGCCACCAGGAGAGCCCCCTTGGTTCAATTAGTAGAACCTAAAATTGAAAAAAGA